TGGTGCACACTGGGCCGCACTGGTTTGTCCTGGCCTCGGGGGACGCGCTGGTTCCCGCTGCTTTATCCGCGTCCCTCCCCCACCCTAGGCCAACAAGCTGAAGACACGAACGCAGCGGAATACCCTGAACCCCGTGTGGAACGAGGGGCTGACGTACACGGGCATCACGGGGGAGGACATGGCCCGGAAAACCCTGCGGTGAGCCCCCCCACCCTCCGCTGTGCCCCTCACTCCCGACCCGCAGCCCCCCGCCCCCGCGGTGCCCCTCACTCCCGACCCGCAGCCCCCTCCCGCCGCGGTGCCCCTCACTCCCGACCCGCAGCCCCCCGACTCCCCGTCTCCCCGCAGGGTCTCGGTCTGTGACGAGGACAAGCTGACCCATAACGAGTTCATCGGGGAGACCCGGGTGCCGCTCCGGCGCCTCAAGCCCGCCCAGAAGAAGCATTTCAACATCTGCCTGGAACCCCAGATCCCGGTGAGCCCCCGGCCCCTCCCCCCAGCCAGATGTGCCCTGCTGGACGTCCCAGATGTGTGAGAGGCCTCCCCATGTTCAGCTGGTCCCTTGTGCTGCCACCTGCCCTCTTCCCAGATGTGCCTTTGCGGCCACTCCCTTTGCCAGATGTTTTCGGGGCCAGATGTGCCCCAGAGCACCAGCCAGATGGGCTTTAGCAGCTGCTCCTTTTCCAGCTGTTCCCCAGGGACGTAAAATAACCACAGTCATCCATTATTTCCAGCTGTCACCCAGAACTGACAGCCCCTCTTCCAGATGTTCCCTGGGACAGTCCAAATATAACCTAGGACACTTTCCAGATGTTTTATAGCATCCCCTTCCCCCCCACATACACCCTTTCCAGGTTATATCCTGTTCCTCAGGATATATATACACCCCTCTGTCCAGAGGTTCCCCAGAACAGTTCCCAGATGTGTCTGCTCCCTGATTCCAGATGTTCCCCCATGGCACTGGGTCCCTGATGCCAGATGTGACCTGCGTACTTTCCCTATGTCCCATAGCATCTGCACCCCCACACATTGTCCAGGTCTTCCCCGGAATATAAATAATTAACAGCCCCAGTTCCAGATGTTCCCGTGGGTCATGTTCCAGATGTGCTTTACCCTCTAGTCCTTTTCCAGATGTTCCCCAGGGACATAACTATAATATACATAATGTTCTAGCCCCTTCCCCTAGCCAGATGTTCTCCAGAGATTGCCCAGCTGTGCTATAGCAGTCACTGCCTTTCCAGATGTGCTGGGGGGGGGG